AGTCTAGGGGGGAAAGGGGTCTTGGACAGTTTTTTGTAAATGCACAACATAGACTGCGACGAACTTTCGGACCGGCGCAGTATACCTGTATGCCCAGCTGCTACAGATAACTGAAAAGTCCTCTGATCCTGGGCCACAGACTATACTACACTACTCGCTCTTTCTCTCTCTCTCAACTCTATGTTCTATATATATATATATATGTATGATATATAGTTATGCATATATACACATGCATATTTTCGTATACATATATTCATATACACCTATATGTATATATATATATATATATATGCTGCACAATACTACACTATGCTATGCTACAATGCCCCGTAGGATTCCGTTGTCCAGCGGTTGCTTCACGGCCGTTTGCTTGCGAGGGTGCTGGCCGAGGACGCGAGGCCGGCTTTGGGTTGGCGGTGTCAGGACTTAGGGCGGTTTAGGGTTTAGGGGTTTACGGGTTTAGGGTTTAGGGGCTTAGAGCTGAACTTCTGTGGGCTCGGACATTCAGGCGATTGCACAAGTCCTGATTCAAAAAGGGGTCTAGGGTTTACAGAGTCCGAAAGGATTCAGGGCTTAGTGCATTGCAGTCCCTGCTCAACAAAAGCTTGTTATCGAGTTAAGATTGATAGGGTTTATTTCTTCGGCTTCTTGGGGTCTTCTTGGGCTTTCAGGGCAAAAGTGGAAAGAAAGGAAGTCCATGTCTGGAGTCTGGGATCCCCGAAGCCCTCGATGTTGTGTCCTGGTATTTAGGACTCCTTAGAGTTTAGGGTTGGTTTTAAGGATGGGTAAGGTTTAGGGTATCGGTGTGGGCCTAAAGCTACATGTGAGAAGCCTGGTTCGTACTTGAAGACGTTAAGGCCAGCCTCTTCTTCAGACCCTGTAAAGGAAAGTGGTTCTAGTCCGAGCCGCGGAATGAAGCGCAGCAGCAGCTTGCAGAAGAAGTTGTGGCGTAGACTTCATGTGCCTGGCTGAAGACCCGGCGGCTAGCAGAACTGCAGACCTTAGTTTAGGGTTTAGGGTTTAGGGTTTCACCGAAAGACCTGCGCAGAGCCGCAAAGCGAAGGGTAGTAGGACTACGTAGGGTTTTGTATTGGGGATTCCCAGTTTAGGTCCTCTGCCTCCAAGCCCCACAAGCCCCAAGCCGCACAATTCCTACTGCACCAGATTTGAAGCCTACAAGCCTTTAGAATGCAGCAACTGTTTCTGGATAATAACCTGCTGTATGGGCAGCATCCGAACATAAGAAGCCAACATATCCAAGAATATGCCGCGCGTTATATAGGTACCTAACTGCTGGGTTCTGCAGTTTCTAGTTACCTAATCGTGTGTTTTACTTATTATCCCAACCCGGATCCTGACAATAAAGTCCCTAAGCCCTAAACCCTAGGCTAAACCCGCAAAAAAACCCTAAACCTGAACCGTAAAACGTGTTACCATCCAGGGTCTAGGTCGAGTCATGACCCAAAACCCTGAACTCCGACGTACATGGGTAGAGCCAAAAACCTGCAGGTTTGAGCTGGAGGAAGATGCCAAGCGCGGAAGAACCATCCGCTTCTCTGGCGCGGGGAAGCCAACAGGCGGGTTTGCCAGATTACTGGTTGTTGCAATACGTCTAATCACCATTGTGTTTCGGTGTACAAGTTTGAGATTTCAGTTTCGCGACCTGGGCATGCCTTCTAAAGGCTCGTGCGATAACTGTGGTGCTGCTAAACCCTGTCCCTATAGACCCTAACATGGTATATATCCTGCTCAAGGCTTGAGCATGCACAAAGGTCATGGTCCTGAGTTGGGCTGTACGGTGTTGGGATGGAAGCATAGTTTCCATCGTCGGTTTTTGCTGTGATTTACCGAGTTTTTTATGATGAAAATGAGGGTCTTAGATTACAGAATCACCTACACTTGCCTCTTCGAGTTCCTCCTTGTGTTTTTCGTATACGAGTGTCCTTAAGCAGGTGGGCTTTTTTCCGGGTGAAGGTCGGGTTCAGGGCTCATCATGCTCGAAGGTTTATAGCTCTAAACCCTACCTTAAGCCCCAAATAACCATCCCTTTTAAGGACTTATCTAAAGAAATCATAATAAGGAACCCTAGAAAGGTAGATTCTTCGGCGTCCAGGTAATCCCCAAGCCCTATTTGTTGCCGAGGTGGACCCGCAGGTGAGCCAAATGCCCATCCGAAGATCGGACATGGCTGCTTGTTGCTGCAAAGTGGAATTGCTTGCAGCTTCCCCGTAGCCGCAACCTTATGATTATTGCCACCATTCTCTTCATCAGTATGAATACGATTTAAGGAATACACAATGAGAGAGAGAGAGAGATCTATATCTTAAATATATATATATATATATGTGTGGTCTCCATATAGGCTTGAGAGTAGCTTGAGAGTTTAGGGTTTATGTTTTTCCGTCCTACGGGTAACACGACTTACAGCATTGACCCGCTAGATCCCGCTAGTATCTCTTGGTGCCGGCGGACCTGCTGTGGAAGCGCTGCAAGTCAGCCCCTTTAGGGTTTAGGGTTTAGGCCACGCCGTGGAGATGTCGAGCATAAAACCCTAACACCCGAAACCCTACACCCTGCAAGCCTAGAAACCCTTAACGAGACCCCTTCAAAGAACCCAAAACGAGCCTCCTACCCTTAAGTTTTACATCCCCCCCTTCCGGGGAACCTTGCCTGGAGAGTCCGAGTGCGAGCACCGCAGAGCCCAAAACCTGAAATCCAATGTAGCCCCTTTAGGGTTTAGGGTTTAGGGTTTCTTTCCCTTAACCCTTGATCAGTTGAACCCGGAACCTAAAAACCCGAACCCAAACCCTAAATCCCTTGTAGGACGCTTATAGGACCCCTTGAAACAATCCTTTTCCGTATAGCCCTAAGCCATTGATCTCAAACCACTCGGGCCCTCTGCAGGCCAGACGCCCAGCGAGCAGAAAATCTCCGTTGAAGTGCTTGCGGTCATGGAGCGGTCTGGGCTTTAGCTTCACACCAAAAAGCCGTATAGCCTTTTTTAGACCTCAAGCCACAACCCTAAACCCTAGACAGCCCAAAACGACTTAGAGCTGTTTAAGGACTTCTATCCTAAACCCTAAACCTTAAACTCGTGTACATGAACTTGCTGGAAAGGTAGGGGCAGTTGCTCACGGCTCGGGACAGGTTCCTTGAAGGGGTCTACATGGGTAGTTCTCTAAGTTAGTGTCCCTTCTATGGTCCTTGTTACAAGGGTGCTGTGCTAGTTTAAGGTTGGAAAAGAGACCCTATATGAATTCAGAGAAGTATCATATGGATTCTATGTTTTGTTTTGGAGGGGGCTTTAGGGTTTTGGGCTGAGGCTGCAGATTTCGATTCAGCTGTGAGACTGGATCCACGATGGGCTCGGCTTCTGTAGCAGTTTCTGACATGACTGCTCATGAATGCGTTTCTTCCTGCCTTTTCCTCTGAAAACCCAAGTCTTGTCAAGGTATGCCGCCGTCCTAGACAAGCCTGCGGGAATCTCGACGGAGGACATGCAGAGAGATTTGGTCAAGCAGATCGCGTATTGGTTTTCTTCTTTTCGACTGAGGGATCGTTGAACCCGGCAATATTGACACATTCTTGCATGCTTCTGCGACGTTTTCTAGACAAGCTCATTATGTACCAGCACGAACTTTCAGCATCAACTCCCGAAGGACTTGATTGAGGCGTACCAGGCGGAGATTCATGCTCGTGCCGGCGAGCAGAGCTATAGCGCCGTGGCTGTGACCCAGGAAGCCCAATTGTCATCTGACTGGGATACTCAACGAAGGTCAGAAAGCTGTACGTGGTTGAAAAGTCCTCGTTTATGGGGTTAGGGTTTAGGGACTGCAAAGCATACAAGTTCTAAGCCCTAAACCTTTAAACCTCAAGGAATTCAATCCCTAAGCCGTTGACGGTTTATGGGTTGGGGGTTTATAGGGACCCTACCCCCCCCTCCCTCAAAAAAAAGGGCCCCAAACCATACCAGCGCCAAGCCCTGAAACTCCGGTCTTCAGCCGACCTAAGACCATGTGCCTCGCCTAGATTGTCCGAGTGTGAGCGTCGAAACCTGGGGAATTCAATCCTAATTAGGGTTTAGGGTTTAGGGTTTAGGGTTTAGGGTCCCTCAACCGAAGCCCCAGGAATTCAGTCGGTGTCTCGTTTGGATTTGCCCACTTCTGGAGCACTGGTCGTGCCGCTCTGCCAGGCTCTCGCGGTGCTTTCAGTTATTGAGGCTTAAGCCTTACCTTAAGCCACCAGAATGTAGGGGCCTTAACCATGACCTATACTATTTTGCGGGGGTCCTGAAGGTAATTGTAGCATATAATGCCCCACAACCCTACTCTAATTTTGAGGGATCCTACGGAGCAGTGGGTTAAGGTAGGGTGTAGGATTTCTGCAGGGTTGGGGCTGAGATGGTAAGGAGCCATAGGATTGAGGTCGGGATCCGTGGCAGCATGTGAATATCCAGTCACAACCGGGGAAGTTCAAGATTTTTTGGTCCGGGTCCATTGCGATTATCTGGACCCCGAGGCCCTATAACCTTACACCCTAAACCTGAAACCCTAAACCCGAAACCTTATATAACCCCTCTCAACCCCAAAAGCCCTAGGAGCCCTGAACCCCGCAAGGCCTGGTGTGGTTCTCCAAGTTTTCATCCCTAAACCCTAAACCCTAAACCCTAAACCCTAAATCCTAAACCCTGTTGGTTTTGTGGAAGATGGCAGGGCCAGGGCTGCAGGCCGAGCCCTCTCACAATCCTCCTCAGGGGTTTGGGGGTTTTGGGGTTTAGGGATGAGGGTTTAGGGGTTTTGGGTTTAGGGGGGTTTAGGGATGAGGGTTTAGGGGTTAGGGGTTTAGGGACCAGGGTTTGGGGTTTAGGGTTTAGGGATCAGGGTTTAGGGGTTTTGGGTTTAGGGGGGTTTAGGGACCAGGGTTTAGGGGTTTAGGGGTTTAGGGACCAGGGTTTGGGGTTTAGGGTTTAGGGGGGTCTAGGGACCAGGGTTTAGGGGTTTAGGGGTTTAGGTTTAGGGGTTAGGCGTTTCGGGACCAGGGTTTGGGGTTTAGGGTTTAGGGGGGTTTAGGGACCAGGGTTTAGGGGTTTAGGGGTTTAGGGACCAGGGTTTAGGGTTTAGGGGGGTTTAGGGACCAGGGTTTAGGGGTTTAGGGGTTTAGGGACCAGGGTTTAGGGGTTAGGGGTTTAGAGACCAGAGTTTGGGGTTTAGGGTTCAGGGGGGTTTAGGGACCAGGGTTTGGGGTTTTATGGGTCCTTCTGATCTGGATCTTGCTGTTTGGGGTCCAGCCCGACCTTGTCAACAGCCGAAAGATCTTTCTAGAGCTGTAGGGCAGAGCACTGTGCTCTCAAGAATCCTTTTTCGGAGAGAGTGTCAGAAAGCAAGGGACGCGAATATGGAACATAGCTCGGGCCGGCAGTTTCGTGCCTCTGCTTGTAGATGGCCAAGCGCGACAGAGAGATAGAGAGCGCGAGCGAGCGAGAGAGAGAGTGAGAGAGAGAATAGACCCCAAATAGTGAGATCCCCATCATAAGGACCAATATAAAGAAGGTACCCCCCCTCCCCTGTTTTCTCAGCCACCCCCAAATCTAGAGAACAGCAGGAAGCCGAAGAGGAGTTGAAGTCACGATTTTCCTCGCGATACTCGGCGGAGCTTGACACGGATAGGGTTTAGGAGTTGAGTCTATAGTAGAAGCCCACAAGTTGGAAACCCACTATCCTCACTCCCTAAAAATATGTATAGGGAATCGCAGCACTAGTTGTCCTTAATCCGGTTTCCAACTGTTTGGGGTCTACTAGAAGGCATCAGGCTTTGGGATGGAGCATTCTTACCTCGACGCTGGGTCGAAGAGCCTTTTTCGGGATGTTTAAGTTACTATAATAAGGAAACCCTATTATTTACTTTAGATCCCTATCTATAAATAAATAAATATATATATATATAGATAGATATCATGCTAACTTAGATATAATCCCTTAACAAGAACCCAGTAACCCCCTAAGAACGAATCCCCCTTAAGTAATGCACCAAACCCCTTCACCGGCCAAATGAACCCTAAACCTTAAACTCTAAACTCTAAAAAAACCCTAAACGCTAAACCCCAATCCTAAATTTTAAACCCTAAAACTCAAATGCCTCAGGAGAGGTTGCGAAAACGTACCTGGCCCTGGCTGTCGGAGATGTGGACCCGGATCGAGGCGCGCCGGGCCTCTAAGAAGACTTACGTAGGGCTTACCCATATGCTCCATAGCCTTTTGGTGGTTCATTTTGGGGATCCTATTAAGTAATCTCAAAAAGGAACTACTATGGAGCCTATGGGTAGCTGTCAGGGTTTAGGATTGTTCAGTTTAGGTCTTCAGGTTTAGGATTCAAGACTCAGACTTTCAGGGTTAGGATTATTCAGTTCAGGGCTTGGGGTTCATCTAGGCTAGACCCTGAACCCTAAACAGCAATCAGGAACCTTTCTAGTACGGCTCTCGGAAGCAGCCAAAGCTGTGACTTGTTTCTGATATCTTGAGTTTAGGGCTTTGGGTTTAGATCCCTAAACCTTATAAACCCTGAAACCCTAAACCCTAAACCCTAAAACCCTAAAACTTACACCGGGTTTAAGGTTTCGAGTCTTGGGTCCCCTTGAGGACCTCGTTTTCGTCCGTAAACCCTGGAGCTGCCGTGAGCCAGACTCGCATCTCGAAGGAAGGCGGGGAACATAGAAGCCTAAATAAACACCATGATTACTGTTAGGGTCCTTATGTGTCCTGAGTACAATAACACTATACAGGAGCCCAGAACCCTGTTTTAATGATTGAGGTGACTTCGTTATGTATGTCAGAAGAGTTTAGGGTTCGAGGTCTTCGGGCTTGCGGATCATGTTTCGGCATTTGGTAGGGTTGAGGGATTCGGGCTTCGCTGAGCTGGTTTGGGTTTCCCTATAGGGCTCCAGTTACCTAAATAATGGGTTACTGGGGTATATAATATCTGGCTAGCAACCTACGATTTAGGTAACTGGAGCCCTAGGGTTTAGTATTGGAAGTCTCGTCCTGCACCAAGTTTTGCAGCTTTTTGCCAGGAACCATCGATGCAAAACTCCGCAGCGTTCAGACGGCTGACCGGCACCGCGCAGTGCCTTGCAGAGAACCTTAAGGATGAAATCCGTTTGAAAGCGGGTAAAGTCTTCAAATCCCAACTAGGGACTCAATAGCGCAAGGGTATAGGGACCCTACGTTGACGGATCATCCGGTCCTTTGGGCACTGACATGAACCTATAGGAAGTAACCCGAAACTAACAGGGGAACCTCAAATCCAGGAGCCCCTGTTCGATTACTGTCGGTTTAGGGTTTATTGGGTTCGGGTTCCAAGTTAGATTACATTCCAACAGTAAGAGTAGCAGTTGCAGGGAACTAGCTGCTTGAGCCGGGGTTCTCGAGTGACACTGCTTGACGAAACTCTAGACGCCCGATCCTTGCACTCCTCGTCCCTGCATTCTCACGCCTTCCCCTTTCAGCCCTTTTGTACGGCATCAAAGAAGATGCGGTTTAGAGAAAAACGGTTCCTTGTGGCAAGGAGCGTAAGAGGGAGTGCTTGTTAAGCAGCCCCATTTGCGTGTGGCTCGGAAGGTAGTCCATCCCTACGGAAAGCCGGCTGTCACCTTGCACCTTCGTTGCAGAAATTTTGATTTCGATATTAGGCTAGGGCCTTGAGGCAGGAGCTAAGCTGCAGGAACTGAATTTGATACCGAGTGAATGACGAAACACTCTCCTGCACAAGTTGCTAGTTGAGAGTCGACAGGTTGTCTTATTCTCAGGATTCAACTTTCTGCTGGTGGGTGCTTCCTGTAACTCTAGTTTAGCAGCCACTACCCCTGAATTAGTAGGTAGAACCCATCAAGCTGTAGGGAGTTAGAGTCCCAGATTTTCACTGCACTTCATACCCCGAACTATGGACCGGAAAAGGATCCATGGATTCACGCCGGTATGTAGAAACCTCGGCCGGTCTTTGTCTCACTCGGCATTACATGGCTCATTAGGGTTTAAATGAATGTGGCTTAGGGCTTTCTGGTTTAGGGCCTTCTGGTTTGGCGCTGGTTTTGCCTTGCCTTGTTGTATCCGACATGGCGTGCAGAACTGTTGAAGCCCTTCAGAGCCGGACCTCCATAACAGATCTTGATCTAGGACATTTTCAGGTGGGTAGTTACCGTTATAGGAGCCTTATAGTTTACCTTATAGAAGCCTTATAGAAGTCCTATATACCCTAAACTCCCCACCTGTAGTTTCCTTTAACATGAAGTCTCCAAACCTTGCAGTGCATATGTCGGCTGCTATGCTGGGCTCCACTCAGAGAACCCCCTCTTGGGATGCGATGATCCAGAACACCTTCACGCACCAAATATACGGCTCAGAAGAAGCAACTACGACCCTGAACCTCTACAGAACCCTAACAAAAACCGTATGTATGTTTTCCGAACGATTTAGTAGAATCTCAACAAAAGCCTGGCCAAAGCCTCGGAAACGAGGTACCGGAAGCTCGCGTGCTTAGACGGGGACGTCCACAACAGCTGCTGCTCGCTGATAACGGCTGTAACACCCTCAAGCCAACCCCTAATTTGTAAGCCCTGCATCCTAAAAATCTGAACCCGTCGGCAGCGGTGAAGAGGGCTGCCGTTGGAAATAGGTTCGCTTTTTTTCCAACCCAACCAGAATTCCTGCTGATTCGATTCCGTTGGAAAAAGTAACAGACAAACCAAGCCCACTATGGCAAACGAGCCTGACTGCTGGATAGGTGGGAGCGGTAGGACAGGAGGAACAATCGCTTTCATCAAAACACATAAGCCTTGGATCCTGCTCACTCAAGAAAGCCTTGAGCCCAAAGGCCCGAAACCCAAGAAGGTCTAAAGCCCTAAAAACTTCAGCCCTAAACCCAAAATCCGTGATAGATTCCTTAGATGGGATCCCTTCAAGGGACTACCGTAAACCCTAAACGCTGCGAACAGGCTATTCCCTGATCCTGGCCCGGCCTCTCACCGGGCGCATGCATCAAATCCGAGCTCACTTCGCCCATAAAGGCTCTCGGGTGTAGGGTAAAGGGTTTAGGGTTTAGGGATTCAGGGTTTCGGGTGTACGGCTTAGGAACAGGCTCTGGGGTTTAGGGTAATGCAGGGCCTGTTACCGATACTATTTCGGGGGTTCCTTGTTATAGATATTCGAGTATTTTATACGCCGAAACCCTATTCTAATTTTTAAAGGCCCCTATATTAAGGGTTTGGGGATTCAGGGTTAAAGTGCCGGATGTGGGACTAGGGAGTATAGAGTTTGGGGTTGGAGCTTCTGCTCTGAGGTTTTTGTGCTTAGGGTATAGGATTTGGGGCTGTCTGGTCTAGGGTAATGTAAGGGCCTTACTAATTACCTATACTATGCTGGGGGCTCCTTCTTATACATTTCATGGTAGAATATACCCCAAAACATGAAGGCTCCTATATTAAGGGGTTTGGGCTGCCAGGGTCCGGGGTTTAGGGTTTGAGGCGGTGTAGTCTTCCTTTAGGGCAAGTGGGCTCGACTGTTCTGAGGCCATTTTCTCGTCAGCGGTATTCTATCAGGGTGGATCAAGGGGTGGTGTTTAGGGGTTCAGGGGTCTAAGATGTACTGTGGAGGTAACGGGCTTCAGCGCTTAGGTTACGAGGAAAAATAAGGTTTGTCGAAATATGTAGCTAAGGAAATTTCACAAGGCTTCATCCCACGAACTCGGAGGGTTATAAGAGTGTTCCCCTCTCACATTCCACTGGATCGTCCTCTGTCTTTTCGCGCCGGCCATCGGCGAGGTTGCAGCCCAATTTCCAGACCCAGATCCTGTGACCCCCAGAACCTCACACAGGAAGCGCCCCAGCTTGACCATAGTCACTACCTTGATCGGAGCCCTTGTTCGGAACAAGTCCTGAAATCGCTTGAACGCCTTGTGCAATTCCCTGTGAAAGCCCCATGAGCCCAGACAGAAACAAATCTATCCTAGAGCCTAAACCCTCAAATCCCCAAACCCTAAACCCTGCATCCTAAACCCTAAACCCCTAAACCCCTAAACCCTAAACCAGCCTAAACCCTAAATCCTAAACCCCATTCCCCCAAATCCGTGCACAAGCTTCTGTTGTCTTCACGGAAGGCTTCCCGCTGGCCGGGGACGTGCGCTACGCCCCCAAGAAGGACCTGAGCTTTCGAACTTCGGGGTGCTTTAGCGTCTAAAGGGTCCATAGAATAGGGCCCTCAAAAATTACCCATGCTATTTTTGGGGGTTCCTTAGTATAACTGTATGATAAATTCGCCAGAGCTCTATTCTAACTATCAAGGCCCCTACACTATGGTTTGCAGCTTTAGGGTTTGCCGCGGCTGACAGGTGACTGAGTCCTTGTGAGAAAGAGGGAGAGAGAGAGAGAGAGATAGAGAGAGAGAGAGATAGAGAGAGAGAGAGAGATAGAGAGAGAGAGAGAGAGATAGAGAGAGAGAGAGAGGGCTTCTATAGGAGTTCAGGCTCAGGGTGTAGGGGTTTATGGGGCTTCGGGACGGGGTTTAGGATGTTAGGCCGTGCAGGGATGAACTACTTGTGACTCCAATCAGTCTTTTGAGGTGTATACAGCGTACACCCTATATTTTTGGAGCCCTAAACCCTAAACCCTAAACCCTGAACCTAAACCCTAAACCCTGAACCCTAAACCCTAAACCCTAAATCGCCTGCTTCCCGCTTTTCTTCAGGGCTTCGGCTGGGCTTAGGATTTCACCAGGATTCTGGAAGCCTGTGGCACTTTCCACTTTGCCGTATTCGGTTTCGTGCAAGTGTCTATAATGTAGGGGCCTAAATCATTACCATTTGTTTTTTGTTTGGGGCGGGGTCCTTCTTATTATTATAATATGCCCCAAACCCTATTCTAATAATTAAGGCCCACCCAATTATTCGGTTTTGTGCTGGAGTCTATAGTTCCGAAAGCATGAGAAACTTGGAATTTGCCTCATTCAACAGAGACCTCGCTGCGAGACGTGGGCCCTTCAATACAACCGGTGTAGCCTTGTACATCCCCCAGAGTTTCGGGTTTAGAGTACTTTAGGGTTTAGGGTTTAGGGGTTTAGGGGTTTAGGGTTTAGGGGTTTAGGTTTTAGAGTATTAAGGCCTAAGCCAGCACTGGTTGGCTCTTGGACCATGTCTCGCAGGATGCCACGGCATGGTGTGGTCGGCGCTTATTCCTGCACGCTGCACATCTGTCGCTATTCGAGGCTTACCAAAACAGTATTGGGATACAGTTCAAGTAGATGTTTTGATTGATTCTCATTGCACTTGGGATGCATGTTTCATTAAGGCCAAGTGTATAGCAGCCTAAGCGGAAATTTAGGGTGCAGAAGAGCAGACTGGGTTGTTCCATGTGATTAATTAGCCTTGTACGCTCTAACCAGTGCGCAACAAGCTTCAGATTAGCAAGTGCTGATCGTGGTTCACTCCCCCTTATGGTATTCATTTCCGACAACAAAAGGGTTCAAAGAAGCCGGCAACCCAAAGAACCATTTCACACCAGCATAGGAAAAGGGACTAGGGTTCAATCTTTAAGGATTTAGGGTTTAGGTAGTTACGTTGTGTCGGGCATGGATTTTGAGCCGAGCATAACACAGCAAGCGCGCAGAGTGGGTGGAGTAGTTAGCAACAGTTATGTTGGTTGCTTGTGCAAGGCTACAGATGTATAGGCAAACCTTTTTTGACAAGTGAATAAGACCAGAACACAAAGAATGGGACGGAATAGTAGGGACATGCATAGTCTCAGCCTTATAATCAAAAGTACGCCAGTCATCTACGAATATGTCTGTTATGCGTGTGCTGTTAATGTCGTGCGACAGCTGTACACATGGATGAATTCAGACACGCATGTATCCCGATTGTTTGCCAAGCTGCCTAGGACTCCTTATAGTCAGCCTTAAAGGAACCCTAAACCCCTTGAACACCCGCCTGACCCTAAACCTAAACCCTAAACCCTGAACCCTGAACCCTAAACCCGAACGCAAGGACGGACTGTCGGCTTTCTCTGCGCCGAAGGATGACCTCCTGAAGCCTTTGAGAGAGGCTTGCTCTTCACATGGGTGGTTGTCAAAATTATGGTCCCCTTCTGGGTCCTTATTATATTACGGCACCTATGATTTAGGGTACCCCAAAAGGGACCCACATGGGTAGTTCTCTAAATCAGGGTCCCTTCTCAGGTCCCCAAGCTAGTGCGGCACCCTTATCGAAAGGAAATAGAGAGTTAGCATTCCCATTTAGGGGTTCCTTTCTTAGGGTTTAGGGTTTAGGGTTTAGGGTTTAGGGATTGCTTTAATTTAAGGCTTCCTTTGAGGGCCCCTCTGGGATGGTCATTATCGGTTTGAAGTTTAGCAGTCCGTGCTGAAAAGAAGTGTAGGGGTCGAGGGGGTGTCAGATTAAAAGAGGGGGTTTCTGGGTTTAGCATGTTGGGTTTAGGATTTTTGCGGTGGGGTTTAGGTTCGGTTTATATGACAGGTTTGGGGTTTAGGGGGCTTCCTCGTGTAGGACTTTTTCTTCTTCAATAGGCCGTCACCATAGGCATTAAAGTGGGATCGGGCTCCGAGAAGACACTCCCAAGATAGGCCCCTTGTGTTCAAACTGGGAGTACTATAATCCATATATATATATATATAACTCAACATACTCCCACAGGTTAACCTTTAGTCCTCCAGGATACTGGACAAGTAGGTACAGGACTTGAACGGCGAGAGCTGAAGCGTCTTTTTTTATGTCGGATCTCAATGCCGAAGTGCAAAACAAGGGTTTTGGGAGTTAAGGCTTCGGTAGGGTTAGGATTTATCTAGGGTGTCGGGCCCTGTTGTAGGTTCGAGTTTTTTGGGTCAGACTGCTTGATCGCAGGAGCTGAAGCTGCCAGCAGATCTGCTACAGCAGCTGGCAGACCCGGAAGTTTACCAAAGATGCCACTTGCCTTTTCACAAGCAGACGGGGGGGCTTAGCGAGCTGACTCTTGAAGCCCAGAAGCCCTAAGCTGTAGACCTGCATTACACGCCGAGAAGTTCATGTCGGTTGGGTTTTGGTTCTAGGAGAGTTTGGGCAATTGAGGTTTGGAACCTCATAGGAGCCCGTGTGGGGTTGTGCAGTCATTCGTGCTGCACTGCTTCACGGCGACGGCAGCCCCAAGCGAGTAAGCCCCCTATACCCGAATCCCAAAATCCTAAACCCTAAACCCTAAGCCCTAAGCCCTAAAACCCTAAACCCTAAAACCCTAAAACCCGAGTCCCAAACGCACCAGTCGTGAGGCCCCGAGGCCGTCGAGTTCAACCCTGGACCGTAAACCTCGAAGGCCGTAGATCCTGAGCCACCACCGCCTGAACCCAAAACCCATTTCAGCTTCTTAAACTAAACCCTAAACCCTAAACGTCTCAAACTCTAAACCCTAAACCCTAAACCCTATAAACCCTAAACCCTAAACCCTAAACGTCTTAAACTCTTAAACCCTGAAGCCTTCCCCCAGATTGCTTCTTATGTAAGACCTATGCCTTTTGACAGTGCTCTGATACAGCCATCCTGTTCGAGTCTTCCTGTCGTAGTGCTCGGAACAGGGTAGCCAGCGATAGAGGACGCCATGGGATCCCGAGAAACCGCGAAGCGGATCTATCCCGGTATGGTCCTTGTGTCCCTCTCGCTCGTTGCTCTTAGTGCCGCGCAGTCTTTCGGCACCGGGGAGGTCAGGGAGCTGGTGGTTCCAGGACGGCTCAATGAGAGTGGAGACCTAGTGGAATTTCTTTTCAACGCCACTGCTGAAGGTGATGTGGACATGCTGCAAGTGCTGAGCGACTACTGGCCTGACGGCCTCCTCATCACCAGAGCTTCAGGGGAAGCCCTCGTACACGTTGCATCCTTCAGCGGTCAGCTAGATGCCTTGAAGTTCTTTTGGGGATCTGCTCTGGGATTTTGGTGTTTGGTTTCGGTTTCTTTGTTTTTTTTGGCCTCCGTGGAAGCATCGCAATGCGGGTCCGTTGGCATTTGGACGAAGCCCTGTCTCAGGTACTGCCTTCAGCAGCCGCAGCGAGCTCGGCAGTCAGAGCTCACCTCTACTAGTATCATACTTTTTGGGATAAAGGTTCGTGCTAGTCCCGGTAGTACAAGTTCGTGCGAGTCATTGTTACAAGTACCGGTCGCATTTCCAGTGCTATTATCCGGTTCTTAACAAGACGCCTATTCTTCTTGTTGCACTGATACTGTTCCTGCTATCACCTGCAGCATCGAGACCAACCCCGCGCTAGAAGGAAAACAAACGCGCGAACGATGCTCATGATGTTTTGCAGGCATTCGCATTATCTTCCGGTTGCAGCTGCACTCGCGATCGTCATGGCCCAAGTAGCTACTAGCTGTCAGTTTGTATCGTTACGATTCTCGCCGTGTGGGGAAACTCCGTGACCATGTCAGGCCATCGAGCAGACGATCTCAGTTTCGATCAAATGAAAACAGCAGTGACTCCCTTGGTTTGTCGTGCACTGCCTCAGCCCGTAAGTCTCCAGCTTCCCCTCGGCATCTACAACCCGCTCATCCTGCCCATCACTCTGCTCCAGGTCCATGACAACCCCCTAGTTAACCTGTTCGACGTCATCAGCAACCACTCGAGCGACATCAACTTCGCTCAGCTCGAAAAGTCTTTCTTCGATGCAAACCGCGACAGCAACTTCAGTCAGCTTCCCGAGCCCTTCGGTTTCAGAGGCGAGCTTCCCAAAGGCACGGAGCTTCAAATTTTCGTTTATCCTCGGCAAGATGGAGGGCACTACATCATCAAACACTTTATCTGCACTCTCAAGTGTAAGCCCAAGATCTTCAATGCCGGCGTCTATGGCAAGGCCCATGTTTACAACTGGCGGTCCACTGACGCGAAAGTAGGCAAGAAGATCATTCAGCATACACTCGAAAACCTCGGCGGACGGCAGTACAAAGTCTTTGACCTCGTATCCTACACCACTCCAGCCAAATCCGCTCAGAGCCGGTTTGAGGACAAGGATGACGAAGAGATTGACAGAGGTTTTGATTTTATCCAAAGCGATGCTCCCAGGTCAACCACGGAAATGGCGCACCTTCGCTGGATGACCAAAACGCTCAAAAACCCAGCATCTCCCATTTTTCAGTGGCCACAGGGCCTTGTCGAGAAGGCCCTGCAAAACCTCGCCAGAGACGGTGCGTTGGCCAAGAAGGAATACGATTGGCCAATCCCGTTGACGAACACTTACTACCACCCTTGGCTTTTGGACATGCTCGAGGAAATCTGGGATTTCGACCAAAGTGCACTGTTGCTGGTAGGGCATGCCGGCGTTGGGAAATCCCCCCTGGGCCGGAGTGTCCTCATGGCACAGGCACGCCATAACAAAGTCCGCTTCCAGGCCAGGGACGCCCCGTGCATTAGATCTACGGCGGAAATCGATTTTCTCAGGGGCGAGCCCGGGTCGGTGGTGATGGGCAACGCGAGAGGCCAAACAAGCTTAAACGCCCTAAAACCACCCGATACCCTCCTAAACCCGCAAACCCGACAGCCCTAAGCCCCTACAGCCCTAAACCCTAAACCAGCCTAAGCCCTAAACCGAAGCACTAAATCCCTAAACCCGGCGTGAATTCCCAGGTAGATCCCAGCAGCCGGGGAAGGACTCTCCTTTTCAGGGTTCATTTTAAGGGCTTCCTTCTCGGGCTCCGTTTAAGGGTTCCTTCATGTAACCACTCCTTGAAAGGAGGCTCCTTTTGTGGATCCTTTAACGGGTAACCTTGAAAGGTTCCTTGAAGGTTCTAGAAGTAGAAGGGAGTTTGTAAGGTTCTATAGTGGGACTTTACAGGGTTCCTTCAGTGGAGTTTATAATAGGGAACCCCAAAAGACATAAGCACGTGCATTTTATAGGCACATCCCTATAGGGAACCCCAAAAGGACATAAGCACGTGCATCTCATAGGCACATCCCTACCTTCGTGGGCTTCATAATAAGGGTGTTTCCTAGTTGTTTACGTGCTTTTGGGGGTCGCGAAAGCGGTGGGAGCTTATAAGGTTCTGTGGTGGGGCGTTAAGGGTTTAGCCTTTAGAATTCCTTTAAGGGATCTGCAAGGGAGTTTGGAAGGTTCTATAATATGGGGTTTTCAGGGTGTTGTGGTTGTTTTAAGGCTCAGAGACTGCCGGGCTTGAGGATTTGGGGTTTTAGGCTCTTACCTATAGTCTCCATTGTAGTTCCTTTTTTTGGTTTAACCAGTCTGATATTAAGGATCCTAAGAGGTAGCCCCAAAAAGGAACTACAATGGAGTGTATAGGTAGCTTTTTGTCTGCGGCCGTAGGGTTCGAGATTAAGATACGACGCGCTGAGATAATCCTCAAGCAGGAAACCCTTAAGGCGGAACATTGAGTTTCCTTGCTTGGACACTCCGCCACTGAACCCGAAACCTTAAATCTAAGTCCGAAGACCCTGAACACTACCTTAACCCTCAAAACACCCATTGTATAAGCAAGTCATAAGAAGGAACTCTTAACATGGTTCCTTTTTGGGGTTACCTTTTAGGATCCTTAAAATATGATTGGTTAAACCAAAAAGACTTACAATGGAGACTATAGGTAGGTTTAGTAGGGTTGACACCGTCAGGCCGCAGAAGCTTGTCACTGAGGGAGGGAGTTTAGGGGTTTAGGGTGTCGGGTTTACGGGTTTCGGGTTTAGGGGTGTAGGGTTTAGGGTTTAGGGGTTTAGGGGTTTATGCTTTCGTTAGGGTTTAGGCTAGGGTTTAGGGTTTAGGGAGGGGGGACAGGGATCGGAGGGAGGTAGGCATACTCAGAACAGGGCTTTGAAGTATATTGTTCTGGCATACCCTGCAAGTCCTGCGACTGGTAGTTGAGGACACGGACGAAATCGAGTTCTCAGACTCTGATTCTGCAGCTTACATGATTTAGGGTTTCGGGTTTAGGGATCCAGGGCCTAGTGCACTGGAGTCCGGTGCTCAACACGGGTTTGGGGTTTTGCGCTGCTTGCACGCGCACCGTGCCGAAGTGTAAGGTGAACGGTAACCTTCTGGGTAGTGCAATCGCGCCAGAAGCCGGAGGGTTAGGTTTAGGGTTTCGGGTTTTTGAGTTTTGGGTTTCGGGTTGGGTTCGCTATGTTCCGCTGAGGACACGGACGTCGAGGCATTGCTGGAAAAAGGTGGCCTGAAAGCTGCGTGGTTGCATGTATAGGCCGTACAGCTTTTCGGGTTCGGGGTTTCCGGTTCGACAACGTACGTTGGGCTTTAGGGTTCGTGTGGAGTACAGAGGCGTATCGGTAGATCCAATATTCTAACATACTGTTGTAGTTGTTTGTAGCCTGTGGCCATATGGCCATAACCTACGATTCTGCTGCGTTTGGGCTTGGGGTTTACAGGATTACAGGTGTTCAGCAGCTCAGCAGGTACAGACGTAGCAGATGTTCTAACAGTCTAACAGTGCACGGTTATTCTTCTTCGAAGGATTATGTGACTGTCTTCCGGAGAAAGGCTCGGATGGTAGGGTCGTGCATACAGTGCCATGTTCCAGTTTTTAAACAGAAGGGCATCTTTTGCAAACTCGAAAGCCAAAGCCGCAGCGTGTAAAGCTGTAGCCGAAGCAAATAGGATAATCCGATTGTCCCTAAATGAACAAACAATATCTCCCACGCCAGGGGGGGAGGAGGTTTATTTTGGTTCCGCTTTAGGGTCCTTTTCAGGAACATCCTACCGCGCGGGGTCCATGTTGAGTCCGTCACTCGTAGAAGCTCCCATGTAAGTAAGGCTGACTTGAACTAATCTTCAACCCTTGAAGCTTCTGAAGTCCCTGGAACCCCACTGTTTCGCTTGCAATAATTACCGATGTCCTTAAAGATTCTACTGATACTAGAAAGGCTTGTTGAAAATCACTAAGGCCCCTGACATTCAACCCCTATACTTAGGGGGTTTAGGGTTTAGGGTTGTAATATACCCTAAACCCTAAACCCTAAACCCAAAGCCCTAAGCCCTAAACCCTCAACCCTAATCCCCTAAGCCCTAAACCCTAAACCCTAACCCCGAAACCCCTTAACCTTGTCATGTATAAGCCTTCAAGTTTAAATCCAAGGACTGGGACCCAAGCTCCATGCCTCCGATCCTGGCTGGGCCGCCCCGGGCCCCCCAGCCAGAGACTCCTCCGGAAGCGTTTGCGGAGGCAGAAGTTTAGAGTTTAGGGTTTAGGGTTTAGGGTTTAGGGTTTAGGGTTAGGGTATAGGGTTCAGGGTTTAGGGTTTAGGGTTCAGGGTTTAGGGTTTAGGGTTCAGGGTTTAGGGTTTAGGGTTTAGGGTTCAGGGTTGAGGGTTCAGGGTTCAGGGTGAGTCAAACATAACTAATCTCCAAAGTCGCTTCTCTTTTTTTTGGCAGCTTCCGAAAACACGAGGCACCTTATTTTGGGGTCCTTATGATAAGGATCCTACTATTTAGGGCCATTTAGGGTCCTATATTAGGGCCCCTTCTAGTCGGAAACCCCCCATATTGTGGGTATCCATGCTTTTGTATGACAGTACTCCAACAACTTGAACCACAAGGCCATAAGGCTGGGTAACCAAAACAGGAACTACGGTGCAGAGTATCAGACCGCTATGTTTCTAAAGTTCGAACTCATTGAACCTACCTACTTCAAGTGCCAACTCTAGACTGTACGTTCTCGTTGTCGGCAGGAGGCAGCTGCCGAAAGAGGGGACGGCGGAGAGGGTGTCACGGCAAACCTTGTGAGGGTGTTTTATGTTAGGGTCTGCAGACTTAGGTACCCTTCCTGGATGGTTTGAGTTATATGGGAGTTCCCGGAAATAAGGGGTACCTTATTTCGGGGTCCTTATGGTAAGAGTCCTACTTTTGGGGGTACTATATCAGGGTCCCCTATTTTCGGAAATCGCCATATCAAGTCCGGCAAAAGGGTCTGAATGATTACCAACTGTGGTTTCCCCCTGAAAATTTCCTACATTGATCGAAAAGTCCAGTTGTTTGGGCCGTTGTGTTGTGGATGAAATACCTTATGATAGTCCACCAGAACCTACTCTCGCATACTCTCGTGTAGGGGCATAACCTAATCTAATGTGCAATGTATATACAGGCCCTTCCCCAAAACCCGAAACCCGAAACCCTAAACCCTAACCCTAAACCCTAAACCCTAAACCCGAAACCCTAAACCCGAAACACGAAACCCTAAACCCCAAACCCTAAACCCGAAACCCTAAACCCTAAACCCTAAACCCTAACCCCTTCCCCAAAAGCAGGTGATGACAAGTTTATAAGGTTATTCCGGTCTGGGGCATCCGGTAAGTGGAGAATTCTCGACCTGAAGCCAACAAATCAACCTATAGTCTCCATTGCAGTTTCTCTTTTTGGTTTAACCAATCTTATATTAAGGATTCGAAAAGGTAACCCCAAAAAGGAACTACAATGGAGACTATAGGAAAGACCTCTTCTGAAAGCTACGCACGTAATCTGGTTGATGCCATGATTCCTTCATGACCGCTTCCGTCAGCATGCAGAGCTCCGGGCAGTCACCGGCCAAAGTCTGGCAGTAAGCCAAGTCATCTCTTTTCCGGCCACCTCCGTGGTCAGCTTTATGGAACCTTGATGCCGTCGCCCGACATGTGTTGCCTCAAAGATGGGGCCCTAAACTCCTAAACCCTAAACGTCTAAACCCTAAACCCCTAAACTCCCAATCCCCGAACCCTAAACCCCGAAGCCCCCGAACCCTGAACCTGCTTGCCTCGGAAGCCTCTGAGATTCTGGAGCATCAGCACGCCATGCCCACTGACATACATTTCTCGGTGAGGTATCAAACTCCATGAGCCTCACAAAGGAATCAAGTGCTCTTGGCTTTGTTAGTCCTTATGATAAGAGTCCTTATGTTTGTATGTGTACATATACACATCTAAATATCAGCATGTGGAGAGAAATAACAAACAAGCAAATAAATAGGTAATGTAATGTAATGCAATGTACAAGTAATGTAAGTATGCATGCATGGATGGATGCATGGCTGGCTGGCTGGCTGGATGGATAGATGGATGGATGGATCGATGCATGTATTGGCAATTGGCTTATCGAACAGTTTATATATTTAACTATGTGTTAGACCCTAAACCCCAAAACGCTAAACCCTAAACCCTAAACCCTAAGCCCCTAAACGCTAAACCCTATAAACCCTAAAGCCCAAAACGCTAAACCCCAAAACGCCATAGGGTCTCTTCGGGCTACCTGCACCAGCCCAGGCTACCTGCCCGCACCGCGACTCCCGGCGAGGAAACTGGAGCCCGAGCTCCCCACCTGGCTGGCACCCACCAAAAAAAGGGGTTTACAGTTTTGGGGTTTAGGGTTTGAGGTTTAGGGTTTTGGGGTTTAGGGTTTAGGGGTTTGGGGTTTAGGGTTCAGGGTTGCTCTTCGTCAAGAACAATCAGAGACTCCCGAATTGTGCTCAGCGTTCATGGCTTCTTCGTGCCTGCTTGTGCATTCGCGCAGAGATCCGCAGCTATGGAGGAAGTCCGGTCCTGCCTGCGATGGTTGAGTTTGGATTGTACAGAGAGCAGTTGCCATTCAGAAGCTCATGTCTTAAACCCTAAACCCTAAACCCTATTAAACCCTAAACCCTATTAAACCCTAAACCCTAGACCTTAAACCCTAAGCCCTAAACCCTAGACCTTAAACCCTAAGCCCTAAACCCTAGACCTTAAACCCTAATTCCTAAACCCTAAACTTAAGTTTGGGGCTGTCGGCTCTTGGTGGAAAGTACCGTCAGCTAGGGGCCTTGACAAGGCGGTAATTCCAGAAGCCTGTTGCAAAAAAGGGTTTCGGGGTTTAGGGGTTTAGGGTTTAAGGTTTGGGGTTTAGGGTTTAGGGCTTAGAGAGAGAGAGAGAGAGAGAGAGAGAGAGAGAAAGAGAGAGAGAGGGGTTTAGGGTTTAAGTACTTTCAGAAAGCTCTGGGGTCTCCTACAAGAGCCCCTGTTCCTTTTCGAAATTCCGGAATGCAGGCGATCCTGCCGAAGCTTGCCAAATCTCAAAGGGTAGCTTCTTTTATGATTTAGTGAAGCAAACGTGTCTGGCTTTGGGGATTTTTGGGTGGTTGTCGGTTTCGAGCTGGGGATGTGGAGTGACAACTTTGCTTTTGGGCATGCCATGGGCTTCAATCTCTCCCCATATTCAGCTTTCCTGCTTTCCTAAACCTTAAATCTTAAACCGTCACTCACTACCCCTCCCCAAACCAAAACCCCCTAAACCCTAAACCCTAAACCCTAAACCGAACCGTCAAACTCTCTCAACACGAAAACCCTCGATGCCCTCCTTTGCCTTTGCCGTTTTTGGCTCATCTTCCGCTCGGGGGCCGCGGGTGATCAGCTGGGCACAACGTTTGCCCTTCTTAGCCAGGCCGGGGGATGGTTTAGGGTTTAGGGTTTAGGGTTTAGGGTTTAGGGTTTAGGGACTAAGACAGACCCTATGCCCTAAACCCTGAACCCTAACCCTAGGGTTGTTTGTTGGGCTTGTGCGGTTCAGGCTCTAGGGGTTCACGGCTTATAGGGTTGAGGGGTATGGGTTTGATAAGGGCTGAGGCAAACAGAGATCATACTGACTGACTGAGTCCCAGTCGTGGTACATAAGATAAATTCAGGTATGGAAAGGAAACAGGATTTCGCGGTTTTTGCTTAGATCTTCGGCCTTGGGTTGGAACCGAGGTTTAGGCACTAAGGGCCCATGTGCCTAAATCGTATATACTTTGGCCTTAAAATAGTCCCTATTTGGATGCTTTGGGGCCAAAGTATCTACTATTCGGGTACATGGACCCTTCCTATAGTCTCCATTGTAGTTCCTTGTTGGGGTTACCTTTTAAGATCCTGAATATAAAACTGGTTAAACGAAAAAAGGGAACTACAATGGAGACTACAGGTCAGGGTCAAGTTTCACGGCGCCTTCAAGTCCAGAATGAGAAACTCCCAAAAGGCCCGAGGGTACCGTCGCAGAGGAATCCTTGCCCAGATCTGCTGTTTGGCGGTCTGGTCTTTAGGGATTTTTTTTCTGAACCCTGTCAAACCTACCTTTTCTTGGGCTCCCGGAAAAAATGATGAGTTGATACTACAGCGTTAGGTGATTTCGGGCCCAGGTAGGGCTTGCTGCTGCTTCAGGGCCGAGTGGGCCGGTCTGGTCTGTAGAGTTTTGATGGGTTGACTACTTAAAGGATCATGGGACTTTGTAAGTAGGGTTATAATTAAGGTACCTATACTTATAGCCCCAACTAGGGGACTTATAACCTTACTTACTAAGTCCCATGACCCTTTAAGTACGAGGGTGCCGTGTAGCTTTCTGTTTAGATCTGGACTGTCGTGGATTCCTCTAACTTCCATCCGTCACTTGTGACCTGATAAGCGAAGTAAATATACAGATATCCTGCCCCTTCTGACACATCAGAGATCGGATCAGAGATCCGATTTACAAGGGCACGCCAACCTGTGCAAAACGACGAACCTTCACGACCTCACAGTATGGAGCCCTAAACCCTGAGCCCTAAACCTGCAAATCTGTTCACCGGATCTGCAACAACCTTAAACCTGTCTCACTGCGTTCTGAGGCAGAGTTCTGGATACTGAGATTGTGTCTGAGGGTATAGGAATTAAGGGGTTTCCTGTTTTAGGATTTGGGCTTGTGAGTTTTAAAAAAGGGGTTTAGCGGCCTCGGGTTTAGGGTAGTCACGAAAGCAGCTCGAATCCTGATTTTTATTGGCTCCTCAGCAAGAGCCTCTGTAACGGTTTCGGGCATATAAGGCATATAGGTCCCGACGCCGGGTCCCGGCACCCTAAACCCTAAAAACCCTAAACCCCAAATATTTAGGCAACTAAACCCTACACGAAACCCTTTAGGCAATTAAACCCTACACGAAACCCTTTAGGCAATTAAACCCTACACTAAACCCGTGGGTTTGGGGTTTATAGGGTTTAGGGAGCCCAGACAGGAGGAAGCCTCGTGGAAAGCCAGAACCACCCTGCCCGGGAGCCTGGAAAGACTTTTTCCACAAGGAGACATTGGGATCATACTGTTGATGGACAAAATCCTGCATGACCTTATATACCTAAACTATGGGATTTATGGTACTATACTATATTTGGGTCATGCAGGATTTTGTCCATCAACAATAGGGGGGCCTTAACAGGCCTCTGTTGGAGGGTTCTGCAATCTTATAATGGCACTGCTTCAGGGGTTTAGGCTGGGCGTCTTGTCAAAAAATAGACACAGGTAATTGTCATATAGGGGCTTTGATAATTAGGACATGCGGGAGCCAACAAACAATAATTAGAACAGGCCTCCTACGCAAGGGCTCTAAAATTCGGGCATTATAGTAGGGGTTCAGTGGCTTAGGGTTTACAATACGGGCCTTGATAGTTAGAGACCAGGGTTCGGGGGGCATAATACGAAAACGGGGGGGTGGTATTGCTAATTCCGGCCCTTATAGTATTGAAAGACTCCTATTATAAGCGAGGGTTCCCAAAAGGAGGTTCCGGTACGCTTTCAGCCTCCAAAACCCACAGGGACGAAAGTACACCCATGTCTCTGAGAAAGTAGAGTGAAGCAAGACGGGCAGAGCCACCATCCGGGCCTCGCAGAAGTGGTTCTAAGGGTTCAGATGCCTATCATAGAAATGGTATATGGGTAGTTCTGTAAATTGGGGTCCCTTCTTAGGTCCCCAGTATAGTACGGCACCCTTATAAAAAGGACCCCCAAAAGGGATCCTATTTTGTCCTCAAGTGGGTTCTTTCAGAGTCGAGGCGTTTGCCATATCGGTACATGGACCCCTCGGGCCAGTTCAGTGTTCCTGAATTCTCAGCCGTTGTTTCGATGATCCATCTGGGCTGTCCGTGGTCCTCGAAGCTTTCTAGAAACATATCAGCCCCTGCATCCTCAACTCTTGAAGAACACCCTTGACCGTATGGGATGAACCTGCCCCCATTCTCAATCCTTTGTGCCGGGGATGTCGGGGTGTGCGGACCCTTGCTTTAGTGGCCAGAGCAACCAGTAGCTGCTGTCGAGTCGTGACATACTACAGGTTGGTGAGCCCGAATACAGAAGCCGCGTGATCCGGTAACTGTCAGTGACCTTAAACCCTAAACCCCAAGTCTTAGTGTCTGCATTAGGTTTCAGTTCTCCTGAAAAGCGCTGCCATGGTGGACTTGGCACATGTGATACCCCTACCCTAACTTTGGGGTGGGTTCTTAACCCAGCAGATCTAGCTCCGAAATCCTAAAGCCTCAGCACCGTGAACTCCCAAAGCCCTGCCAACCCCGCATCCCGAAAGGAGGAGCCGAAAGGCTCCTAAACCCTAAGCCCTAAACCCTGCTTTCGAGAGTGAGTGCTGAAACCCTGCTGACCGGAAGTCTTTTTGGCTCAGGATTTTATGCCCGAGCCTCTAGTTTAACCCTTATCAGCCATGGCATCGCAGGCGGGGACTGCCGTTGTGGAAGGGGGACGGTGGCGAAATATGGACAGCCTGCATGCGCCAGCTGCTCGTTGGTTACCGGGTCAGTTAGGCTGGTTTTGTGTGTTTGCGTGACTAATGGCCTACTAGTCATTATGTGGTGAGAGCCTTGAGGTGGGGCAAAATAGCCACAAAGACTTCTGGGGTTTACCTCATAATGCTGAACACCAAGTATACCACGCTCCACATGCTAGCAGCACGGCTACGGGTCCTATTCTGCACAATAGACATGGTGCAGCTGGACTGCAAGGATTACGATAAGGAACGACTCAAAGGGTCGTCATACAGTTCAGGATTCCGGAGATTGGGTTTGATAGCGTGAGGTGGTCCTCCCTGAGCGGGCGTCCGACAACCCAGACCCGATGTCGCAGGCTCTTATCCTTTCGATTAAACACGCTTCAATCACAACATTTTGAAGCCTTCAGCCCTAAACTTATAGAGCCCTAAACCAACGCTGCACCCAAAGCCCGGATGCTAAAATGCCATGCTCTTCTTCAGGTCGTAGTGTCCAACCCACCACAGCAGCCCAAGAGTACAGCGGGGACTGTGGTGGCAACAGCGGCCGGACAGCAGTATCTCGAGGGTTCTTTAAACGGTTCATCTAGCGTTCTATGAGAGTTTCATAGCAAGGGACCTGTACAGATGCTATAAGGACATGTAGGTCGTTTAAGGTCGACGGATAAAGGCTTATGAGTTTCAGGGACTAGGATGAAGACTTCCAGGACTGGATTTCTGGCCATTGTTTTCACGAAGGTGCATCTTCTGGATTACGGGTGTCGGGTTTCGGGATGTCCCCTGGGTGTGGCTCCCACCTGATTGGATCGCCGGATTCATCAAAGGATTTTCAAAGACTTGCGGAATCGCTGGCAAAACGAGAGTGGATGACTCGTGACGTATCCTGGCTGTCTTTTACTGGTGCTTCAAGCAACACCGAATCTTCTTCTACAGGTTTCGATCTTCGCCATTCAACTGTAAAGGCTGCGGTCGACACTCTGCTACAACATCCGAACATTAACAAACGGTCGAACGTTTAAAACTCGGAGGTGGAGGTGCTCCTGGATTTCTTCCCGGCTAACTTTTAACGCCAATGAACAGCAAGAGATTCAGTCTGCGGGCGCGATGAAGTACACTGTTGCATCGTGTTTCATGTGAAGATGTTCGATGAGTTCTGCTGCATAATATGTTTTGGCCTTAACAGCCGGACCAGGTGTTGGAGTATGTTACAGTGTAGTTAGGAATCCTGAGGATAGTATTGTAGTATTGGTATCATTGCTTTGTATAAGTCCTTAGCTAGTTAGGCTAGTCAGGGCCCAGGTAGGTTTTGGTGCGCAGAATCCCTGGTCCCTGGAGCTGTCCCATTTTTTAGATCGTAACCACGCTAGAAACCCTAAACCCTAAACCGCCTAAACCCTAAACCCCTAAACCAATAACAAAGCCGCTGCAATCCGTGGTCTCCCCGGCCTTTCCAGAATGGACTCGCCAGCCCTAGGGCTCCACTTATCGTGGGTTTCGGGTTTTGGGTTCAGGGGTTGAGGGCTTAGGAGTTTTGGGTTTAAGGGTTCAGGTTTAGGGTTTATAGGTTGCTAACCATATATCATATACCCGGGTAGCCCATTATTTAGGGAACCGGAGCGATAGGGAAGGTCAAAAGCTTCTACGCAAACTGATGCAAGGCTCCTCCGCTGGAGAGATTCTCTTCCAGGAATGTCCAGGAGTCTCACATATACCCTAAGCCTCAAACCCCTAAAGCCTTTTACCCTATACCCCTGAACTCTAAACCTTAAACGCGTAAACCCTATAGCCTAAACCCCTGTGCCCTAAACCCTAAAGCCTAAAGCCCTATGCCCTAAACGCTAAAGCCTAAACCCCTAAACCCTTAAACCCTACATAAGCCCTAAACCTAAACCCTAAAGGCTAAACCCCTAAAGCCCTAAGCCCTAAACCCTAAAGCCTAAACCCCAATCAAGGGCTCCAGTTCGGGGACCAAGCCTTCACAGTTTTAGGGTTTAGGGCTTAGCAAGTTTAGGAAATTTAGGACTTAGGGTGTAGGGCTTGTGGGGTTTATGGTGCGTATAGGGTTTAGGGCTGATAGGGTTTAGGGCTATTGGGTGTCCAATGTTTGCCGGATGCTGGCCGGCTTGCTTTAATTATTAATCTAGGCACCATCGACAGAGCAGACGTTCAACAGATCTTGCACCCTTGAGCCCCGAAACCCTTAAACCCCTACGCCCTATAAGCCCAAAACAGAAACCCTAAACCCCAAAAGCCTAAACCCCTAAACCCCTAAACCCCTAAACCCTCAACCCCAAACCCTAAACCCCGAACTCTTCGGTAACATTCCCGAAACCCTCCAAACCCTTACACCCCTAACTATAGTCTCCATTGTAGTTCCTTTTTTTGGTTTAACCAATCTTATATTAAGGATCCTAAAAGGTAACCCCCAAAAAGGAACTACAATGGAGACTATACGTAAGCCCTAAACCCCTAAACCCCTAAACCTTTAAAGGTCCCGAAACCCTAAACCCTAAACCCCGAAAAGCCTAAACCCCAAAAGCCTAAACTCCCAAAGCCTAAACCCCTAAGCCCTAAACCCTAAATCCCCAAAAGCCTAAAGCCCAAAAGCCTAAACGCCTAAACCCCGAAACCCTAAACCCTAAACTCTAAACCCCAAAAAGCTTAAAGCCCAAAACCCAAAAAAGGTTGGCTGCGCCGCCCTGGGCCTGTGGGTAGCCGGCCCTGTGGGCGCCCTTTTGGGTGGCTCTGTAGGGGTAGGGGCCCTGCTCTCATCTTCCAGGCCGTGTGAAAAGCGGGTTTAAGGTTGAGGGTTTGAGGGTTTAGGGTTTAGGATTTCAGGGTTTAGAGTTTAGGATTTCAGGGTTGAGGGGTTTTGGATTTAGGATTTGTGGGTTTGGGGTTCAGGATTTGAGGGTTATAGCGTTTGGGATTTGAGGGTTTCGGCTTGGATCCTGAACTCGTGGACCCTCTATATGCCCCCACCCCAAGATATAAATGCATAGCAATGGAGCTTTTTAGACGCAGCAAATCCACATGAGTCATCAACTTCCGCCCTAAACCCCAAACCGTAAACCCTAAACCCTAGAACCCCGAGAGGCGCATCCTTCCCTCCCACATACCGCCCAATGCCCCGTCGTGAAGAAACGCTCCGCGACCCAGAATCCCTGGATAAGTTGGGGGACGTGCCCTGCTGAAGGGAGAACGCCTTAAGCCCTAAAAGGGCTTAGGGTTCATATACCATATCGGGAGTCATAGTATAAGGGAATAGGGCCCCTAATTTCAAGGTTCTTTTCGTCCTTAAGAACTGGAGCTCTCTGGGATCGCTAAACCACGATATGATAAAGCCAAATTAGAACGAAGTTCCCTGGCAGAACAGAATATGGGTAGTCCTCTAAATTAGGGTTCCTTGTTAGGTCCCCAATATGGTACGGCACCCTTATAAAAAAGAGGAGCCCAAAAGGGACCCTAATTTAGAGAACTACCCATATCGCCAAGTAGCCCGGAGCCCTCCTAAGCCCTGAACCCAACACCCTAAAGCCTGAAACCGGGTTTAAGGCTTAGGGCCTGAAGCCCTAAATCCGCAACCCCGAGCAGACCACGCCTGGATTCGTCCGGGTGTGAGCGCCAACAAAACCCTGAGCCCTGGCAGCTTTACAAAACCGAAAACTTCACAAACAAAAACACAACCCTGAACCCTAAACCCTAAAACCCTGAACCCTAAACCCTAAAGCCCTAAACCGTTTAAAACCCTAAAACCCTAAAGCCCTAAGCCCTAGAACCCTAAACCCTTATAAACCCTAAAGCCCTAAACCCTTATAAACCCTAAAACCCTAAGCCCTAAAACCCTAAACCCTAAAACCCTGAAGCCCAAAAACCTAAACCCTAAACCTTAAAACCCGAAACCTTAAAGCCCTAAAGCCCTAAAACCGAACGCTCTTCCTGAACTGGAAGGTCTTCCTCGCGTTCAAGGAGGGCCGCCGCTCTCGGGGCAGTTCGTCTGCATTCGTTTAGGGTTTAGGGTTTAGGGTTTATAGGGGTTTAGTAGGAAATAACCCCTTCGTTGTAGGGTGTTACCTCCAGAAAAGTCAGGTTTTGGATTTCCGGGTACGGCTGAGGGCTGCAATCTGCAGTTAGTTTATGGAGTCTTTACGATTGAAGGGTCCTGGGATCTTCCCGGCCGCCTTTGCGCGTGTGAGATTGGCTTCGAAGGGGATTGTCTCCAAAGTCCATGTAGGCCCCTGACCCTACATTGTAGGGGCCTTGGAGCAATTAGGATAGGGCTTTGGGCTATGTTCTAGTCTAAGTCTAAGTACCATAGGGGCTCTACGGGGGGATTCTATGAGTAAAAAAACTCCGACCCCTGGATGACCGTAACAGGTGACCAATATCCGCATCCCACGAGATGGCACATGTGAGCATCGGGGGGCAACTTGGCGGCACCTGTTGCTCAGTCCTTCTCCCTGTGACCCTAACATCGGGGCCTTAATCATTACCTATACTGTTTCGGGGGGTTCCTTATTATATTTATAGTATAATATACCCCCCAAAGCCCTGTTCTAGCTATATAGGCCCCTACATGACTCTTCAAGCCACAGATCCCGAAGCAGTAAAAACCTGCAGCAAACGGCAAGCTCTCTTCTAGGGCCTCGGTTCTTGGGATTCCATGCCGCAGACCTGTTGGATCACAGTGTTAATGCATTCTGCTGCTGCAGCCGTCTAAGCCCGAATCTCTGAACCCAGCAGTCCTCTTGGGTGGTGCTTGGATAGGAAACGGTCGTCTTGGTGTGAGCGGAGCTGCGTGATCAGGATAGCGCAGAAACATGGGCTGTAGGCCCTACAAGCGTATAAGTCCTAAGGATTAAACCCTAAACGCAGAAGCTACAGCTACAGCGCACAATCCTGATTGGTTGAACGACGTGGTGGCAGCAGCAAAGCCGTTGCTGCTCATCAAACTGATCGATTTTCGTCCGACGTGCCTCTCTTCTTCGTTAAGTAATCTTATGTTTAGGATTATATGTCAAAGGATCAAGGCAACCCAAACCGGGAACTACATTGGAGAGAGTAGACAAGCCCCGCATCCTGGACCATGCAGCACAGATGTCAAGGTGACATACTTCGCTGTGGAGGTGACGCACAACTCGGGCAGTGTCTTTGGCGGCACAGACTACAGGCATCCACATGCCGAAGCATTCCCAATCCCGAACTGACTCGAACTAAGATACCTGGCGAGTCATGCGGCGCTACAGCGAGTTCTACAAGCTGCGGAGGTTCCTGCGGGTGCGATATCCATTCCCAAGGAAGCACCCGAGCTCAACATCAGCATTTGCGTGCTTGGGGGCTTGACTGGGTGTTAGCATCCTCTTCCATACTGACCTGTGTCGCAAAAACGCTCGTCGAATCTTCCGTACCGGCTTCACTCGTGGTTCAGCCTGAGAACCCTGCGCATTACGATGCTTCTGTGGAGGGGTGTTGCCGTTGTGTATTTCTCCT